TAATGTGATATTCAATACATTTATTTCCTACTATATTTCAAATTTTATAATATGAAGTTTGCTGGTTACTTGTGTATTTCCACATGTGTGTATTTGCTAAATATTTTATTTCTTAACTTGATTTTTCATGTGAAATCTGTCTTTACTCAAAACAATTCCTGAATCTTAGGAAACTTTATATCTTTCCTGTTATATCGTTTTAGTTTGTTACCAGAAATCAAAATTTACTTTTGTGTAATTAACCTACTTTCATACCTTTTTACTGCTTGTTGAAAAAAAGAAGTAGGTAATAGTGTATAAAACAGTCATAATACCTAATACTGTACTATATTTCTTACAATATTTCATGTATTTTATACTGTCTTTAACACTGACACCTGTAGTAGTGACGGGGCATCTTTTAATATTTGTGTTTTTATCAATTGCCTTCAGTAGATGTGTAGTGGTTGCATCTAACCTAATGAATGTATTTTCCAGTGGTCTTTTTTGGTTGGTTCTCTGGTTCAGATAAGGTGATGACCTATGACTGCATGTAGTGTTTTCAACTATTTGGCTACAGTGCAGAAATGTGATTCTTTTCTCAGACTCCATTATGGTACATCCTTGGTATTGCCTGCCTTTGTCTCTATGATTTCTTTATGAATAGAGAAATTATTATAAACCTTTTCTTCTATGTTGATAAAGCAAACAATTTTTCTTATCCAGTCTAATACAGCTTGAACATTCAAACAAGCAAAAGAAAATATTCTGCATATTTCAAGGGTATACAGGTTCTTTTCAAATTCAAAACACTAGATGAGTGTACATTTCTGGAACAGATTTGGTTTAGAGCCAGTGTCTTACGTTTAATAGGAACTTACGCTCTCTCTACCTTGAAAGATGTAATTGTTACCTTTAAATTTTTTTTTTTTTTTTTTTTTTGGTTTTTCTCCAGTACCGGGAACCGAACTCATGACCTTGCGCTTGCCAGGCAGGCGCTTTGCCGGTGAGCTAAATCCCCAGCCCCAATTACCTTTAAATTTTTATCTAGTGGTTTGTTCATTTGTTGGGTCCTTGTAGTTTTTTAATCTGCATATTCAAATCTGTGAATATCCCTACTATAACAACTAATTATACTCACTAGTACTTTGACATTTTGTTGTGAGGATCAAAAGTGGTTCAAATTTGTTAGCCTTTCTCAATTCTCCCTTGAAATCTTTTTTTCTGATATCTCTTGTAGTTTTCCCAGTATAAAATTCTGGTATTGCCCATGGCTTTTTAAAAAGCAAAGCCACTCTCAGCTCCTTTTCTTAAGCTTTCTGAAATTGCTTCAATCCAAGTAAAGAGAAAAGAAAGTTTATCAGTGCTTAATCCTTTAAAAATTAGTATGAATCTTAGTGTTTAAGGAAAGGCATGGGCTACAGAGTCAGATTTAGGTTTGAGTTATAGGATCATCCCTGCTTGGCTGTGTGACCTTTGAGCATGTTTTTTAACATTCCTGGTATGAGTTTCATCTATACAGAGTATTAATGAGTCATCTTATAAAGTTCTGGGTTTTTTTTAATTTAATTGATACATAAAAAATTTACATACTAATTATAATGTTTTGATACATTTACACATTGTGTCATGTTTAAATCAGGTTAAACATATCTATTTGAAATGTCCATAATTTATTGTGAAAACTTTCAGAATCTAGCATTTTGAAATATACAATTCATAATTGTTTTCTATACTCATACTACTGTGCATTTGTGCACCATACTTCTTATTGCTGTCTAACTATATCTGTATCCATTTGATCACCTTTCCCTGTACTTTACTTTCCTCAACTCTTTCCAGCCTCTGATGACCAACATTCTACCTCAACTAAAATGAAATCAGCTATTTTATATTTTGCATATAAGAAACATCTTACAGTACTTGTCTCTCTGTACCTGGCTTGTTTCACTTAACATAATGATGTCCAGTTCCATCCATGTTATCAAAAATGAGCCGGGCGTGGTGGCACACACCTGTAATCCCAGCACTTGGGAGGCTGAGTCAGGAGGATCTTTGTGAGTCTGAGACCAGCCTAGGGTACAAAGTGAGTTCAAGGCCAGCCTGAATTGCAACTGCATAGTGAGACCCTATCTCAGAAGGACCCCCCCCCCAAAAAAAAGGATTTGAATCTTTTTATAGCTGAAAAGTATTTCACTGTAGTGAAAGGTAGTATATGCACTACCTTTTCTTTATCCATTCATCAGTTGATCTGTACTTAGGTTGTTTGTATTTCTTGGTTGTTGTGTATAGTAGTGCAGTGAACATGAAAATGTAGTTGTCTCTGATGTATTCATTTCATTTCCTTTGGAGATTTGATGCAGAGAGAGATATTTGGTGAATCATGTAGTAGTTCTGCTTATCATTATTTGAGGACACTCTGTACTCTTTCTCATAATAGCTGTACTAATTCACATTCCCAAAAACAGTGTGCAAGGGTTCTCTTTTCTCCACATCCTCTCTAACACTTGTTATCTCTAGTGTACTTTTTAAATAGCCATTCTCACTAGGATCTCTCCTTGTGCCTTTGATTTGTATTTCCTAATGTTGATAGTGAGCATATTTTTGTATACTGGTGGTCATTTGTGCTTTTTCTTTAGACAAATGTCAGTTGGGAGGGCTGGGGATATAGTTCAGGGGTATAAGTGCCTGCCTAGCAATCACAAGGTCCTGAGTTCAATTCCCAGTACACCCCCCCCCCCGCCAAAATGTCAATTGGGGTCAGTTGCCATTTTTTAATTGGTTTGCTTTTATTTGTTTTACTATTTAGTTTCTGGAGTTCTGTATATATTTTGGACATTAACCCCTATTTTGATGTCTAGTTTACAAAATCTGTACTTTCTCCCATTCTAATGGTTATCTCTTCACTCTGAGGTTTGTTTCCTTTGTTGTGCAGAAGCTTTTTAGTTTGATATAATCCCATTTTCCTACGTTCGCTGTTTCCTATGTTCTAGGGATCTTACACAAAATTCCTTGTTCAGTTCAATGTCCTGAAGTATTTCTTCTGTTTCCTTTAGTAATTTCAGATCTTACATGTAAGCTTTTAATCCATTATGAGTAGATTTTTGTTACTACTGAAAGCTAGGGGTCTGGTTTTTAGTTAAAAGAATTTCTGTGATCTAAAGGATGATCATAAATGGTACTCCTTTCTAGGAAATAAGTTTTAATTTGTGAATAAAATGGATTATTTAGAAATCCAGTACAATGTTATTTATTATTCTTTGAAACCAGTTCATTTTGAAAAAATCTCTCAAGGGTAATAAAAATGTTGGTATTGTACTTGGACCTCAGTGTAAAGGAATATACCATACCTGTGTTGATGTAGGCAATTGAATGAATTTCCAAATGAGTTTTTGCAGTTTATTATTTTATTCCAAGCTAAAGGGCCCCAAATGATCTCTAGCCAGTAGTTCAAGTTGGAAGCATTTCAGGAAGGTTTTTACACAGAGAGAACGTACACATACTTGGTTCGACCTTAGTAGAATTGCTTACTATCTACTGTTTCTCCAAGTATTTGTATATTTTTTCAATACTTCAAGTAAGATTAAGCAGTGTCCCACAATTATGCTTAATTCCAATATAAAGGGGCACAAGATCGTAATGGTATATAATTTATACTTAGAAGTTTCCTCCCTTCTATGTAGTACATGACATTTTCTAAAATGTGGTATTACAACCAGTTTGATCATTTTTTGGAATTATTTTAGGTACATATACTAGTTCTATACTGTCTTTCTCTCCTAAATAAATTTTATTTTATTTATTGATTGGTTGATGGATTGATTGATTGATAGGATCTCACTGTGTATTTCATGCTAGCCTTCAACTCACTATGTAGCCCATGCTGGCCTTGAACTCACAGTGATCCTCCTGCCTTAGCCTCCAAAGTGTTGGGATTATAGGCATATACCACCATCCCTAATCAAGATAAGTTATTCTGAAACATCAAGAATAGTGTATTGGAATTAATATAATGTTTCTTTTTTTAAAGTATTGAGTTGTTTTCCTAGTGGAATGGTATTTCTGTCTAAGGAAGTCTTCTACTTTACTTCCACTGGTTATCGCTCACTGCTTTCTGTATAATAAAAGAAAGCAAATGGAAAGATGGCCCCCATGCAGTTATGTCCTCTCTCAGTTGATCTGGTACTGATATAAGCAGAGACAGGAATAATAGCATTGTTGTACATTTAATACAAGTTATTAACTGCTAGGTGCATTATGTAAATGCCTTCTCCTCCAGATCAATAAGGAAGTCTTAGTATTTTTCCCCTTCTACTTTAGTAATCTCAATTTCCTCTCTGCTTCTATTAAAGTGTAAAGATGTCTAAATTCTCACCTGATTTAAGAATAGAGATTAGATGATGATTTGAAATTTAAGGCAGTATTGAATTGTGTTTTATTATTTGATGAAGAGTAACTTTTTATTGTTGTTTTTTGTCTACTGTGTGAAAATGATTATGAATCTTTTTGTTCCAAGGTACTAAAACTGTAATATAGCACAGTTTTTAATACAAACACAGGGCTCTATCTTTCTTAAACAAGGAATTTTGTTAATTTAAAGTTCCACATATAAAGCAGATATACTTAATTTCCTCCTAATACATCTGTGTCCTAAAGCCCTCAGGAGAAAATGGTTCAAAAATTTGTTTTCATGTCTAGATTGTAAGTAAAATCACTTGTCATACATGAATTGCAAAATGCAGACCTTCATTCTGAAGCTGCCTGTTTCTCATTTGGATCTGACATATTAAAAAGCATATAATTAATGGTTGACATTAGTAATTAACATTAACTTTATGGTGCTTAATATGCCATCATTCATCCATCAAATAACCAGAAATGCATTATGTCTTGACATAAAGGTTTTAATTATATAAAACGGTCTTTCAGTTTTCATATGATATAAATGAAAAAGCCAAAAATGTATTTTAAAAAAATTTCTCTAAGCTTTGGGTGTTAGCTGTATTTTCATTTCTTTATAGGAGCTTTCATCAACAATTGTGTCAGGAGCTTCAAAAGGAGAATGTAGACCTTGTTGTGCAGTCTTCATTATTGGCTAAAGAGCGCCACCTTGCTGCAATTGCCAGCACACTATGGAAGCATTTCTTTTCATTTCTGAAGAGTCAGAGAATGGCGGAGATTGTGCCTCTCTCACAGCTTGCAGATGCAGCTGCAGGTCAGCATTAACTGTTAATTTGCTAATTCCTTCCTCTTTCCGCACGCTATTTCTCAGTATTTTCCTCCATTTGCTTTATAACTGTAATAAACATTGTGACAACCAGAAAGGTAAAATAAATTACATATTATTTGGAAACTAATTGTAGCATTCGATTATGTGTAGTTCAAGTAATTTTTTTTATTTTAAAGAGAATAAAAATTTTAAAAAGGAATAAAAATGATACAGCATTTCAGAACAAGATGATGGGAAATGAAAATGGTTGTTATATTGCATATTGTTATCTTCAAAGTAGTTTTCAGGTTTTACAAACATATCTAGGTATAAAATAACTTCAGCATCAGGAGGCTGAGTGAGATTAGAATGGCATTGAATATATAGAATGCTGTTGTTCTTATTTCTACCAGATTCTGTTTTAGGTATAATTTCTGCTTACTTTGATTATTGCCCTAGGGTCATGTACTTAAGATTTAGGAAACTCTAATACCTATGAAATTATAGGCAAGCTTTTGAATGTATGTGTTTATATGCAGTTTTCTAAGAATAGGTTATCTTCCTCAAAGGAATATTTTGCCCGAAATATGTTACAAAGTAGTAGAGTACATAGAGGTCAGTGTGGTTATGGCATGTGTAGCAGGAAAAACTTATGATATTGTGTGTGTTTTGAAAACCTAAGATCTAAGCAGATATTCACCTTACCTTGGTCTGAATGAGGAAAGCTGCGTCGAGCAACCATAGACTGTAAAAGACGGAAGAACATAAATGCAGGCAAATCTGGAATTCTGGTGGCGCTTCATATTTCTAAGACTTTACGGTGACAGATTGAAGTATTGTGACAGGGCAGTGGTTTCTAGCTACTGTAATATCTGTGAAAGGAAGTATTGATATTCAGTCAGTTGAAGCAAAACAATCATTAATAGCCAGTATGACTTATCTCTCTTATATTCATCATCCTATCTGCCGATCAGTCAACAGCAAAAATATTGCATCGGTTTACAAAACAAAGTGCATGGATTTTGAGATGATTCGAAATAAAGAGTTGATAGTTTAGGAGAGATGATTTTCCTTCATTTAAAACAAAGGCATCAAGTACCTACTTTTATAGGGCTCAGGGATATACTCATGAAATGAGCAGAAAAAGACTATCTATTGTTACAAAGATTATAGTCTATTGGAGGAGGGGACCAAAAATGAATAGGTTTAAATGTGTAATATTTTAAGCCAGGCACGATAGTGCATGCCTGTAATCCCAGCACTCGGGAGGCTGAGGCAGGAGGATCATGGCAAGTTTGAGACCAGCCTGGGCTACAATGTGAGCTCAAGGCCACCCTGAATTGCATACTGAGATCCTGTCTCAAAAAAACAAAAATAAATACATAAATAAATAAATAAATTTAAAAATGTGTAATATTTTAGACAGTGATAACGCTATGGAAAGAAACAGAAGTACAGAAGAAGATCGGATGGTGAGGCCAGAGGCAGGTTGTAATTTTAAATACAGTGGTCAGGAAGGCCCAAGTAAATAATATTTGAACAAAAACTTAAAAGAGGTAAGAGGTCATGCTAGCAGAAGACCAGAGGCAAGAGTATGCCTGGTGTGTTTGAAAAACTATAAGGAAGCAGTAACGGCTCGTAAGGAATAAAAAAGGGCAAGAGAAGTCAGAGATGTGATTAAGAAGTTTCAGAGAGCCGGTCTGCGTCCTACCTTGTAAGTGCACATAAAACTTTCGCTTTTGCATTGCAAGTAGAAACTGTTGCTAAGCTTTCAGCAGAGGAATGGTGTAGCCCTTCTGGCTGGTAAGTTACGATGGAGAAGAGAGGCAAGGGAGAAGTAGGGAGGCCAGGAAGGGAAATCGTGCAGCAACCAAGACCTGAGCATCTTGGCCTACTGTGGCTGCAGTAGAGCTGATGAGAAGGAGTCAAGATTTCCCATCTGAAAGTAGAGAGAACTCTTTTGAAGGTAGAGCTGATAGTATTTGCCAAGTAGATAAGGTAAGGATAAAGTAGTTAATGAAAGGAGTTAAGGGTCACTAGCCATTTGGTGAGACAGGGAAGACTGTAACGGAATGTGCAAGAGCACATTTTATCAGAGGAAGCTAATATTTTGTATTTTGGATTCTTTTTAAATGTCACTTATAATCTCAATAGCTGTGTTAAACAGGAAGCTGAATACTAAGTCTAGGGCTCAGAGAAGAGGTCTGAGCCGGAGATGTCTGCTGAGAAACTATCCATGTGTATGGAGCCTTCAGAGGCATGAATCTGGATGGAATCATCATCAGTATATATGGGTGAAAAGAGAGGCTGGAGGACTGTGCTGCCCCTTATTTCTATGTTAGCATTTATAAGATAAGGAGAGACAAGAAAAGAGTGTTGGTAAGAAAAAAACCAGGAAGTGTGGTGCCCTGGAAATCAGGAAGGGGAGATGCTCAGCGACACAGATGCTGCTGATGTGTCTGGTGAGATGAGGCCTGAGAACTACTTGTTGGATTTAAGAAGAATGTCAGTGGTGACCTTGAAGAGCAGGTTGGAGTAGTAGAGAATTAATGGAGTGACGGAAGATGATCCAAGAAAATATGTGTAAGGAATTGTAGACAACAAATGTTAGTAAATCTTTTTTAATGTTACTGCTTAAGAAAAATAGGGGTATGAGCTAGAGAAGGAAGTAGAGTCAAAGAGAAGGGTTTGTGTTTATTTAAAATAACATGGAAGAAATTTCAGCATATTTATAATGATTAATGAAAATGTTCCATGGTGAAGGAAAATTTGATGGTGCAAGGAAGTCACTTTAGTGTTTTAGTCCCATGAGAAAATGGGATCCCATAGAGGACTTGGTCTCCAATCTTTTCTGGTGGCAGAAGAGACGGCTGAGTGAATGGGCCATAGGCAGCTGGGTAAATGTGGTTGGAGCTTGGGATAGTTTTGTTTGTCTCATTTCCTCATAAAGTAGTAGGGAGGAAGGTGTAGTTGGGATTGGGGGACTATAAAGCACTATCTAAGCCATTAACTGAAGATGAGGAAACGGGAGGATGTGCCAGTGGTTGGTAAAGAAAGAATGTGAGCAGTAGTCCCCTTGGAGAATGGACTAGGAGAATATAGTATGAACAGTGGCCAGTTGTAATGGCCTACTGGAAGTTTATAGTCATAAATTTAAAACTAATCACACTTTTGTTCTCCCTTATTTGGTGCAGGTACATGTGTGTAAAAGGCTAAGAATTAGAATTAAATAAGTGAAATAGTGAATCAAAAAAGGAGCCAGGAAATTGGTGGTTTATACAATAAGCATAGTAATGGACCATGCCTAAAGAGGCACAGGAAGGCGTGAAGGCCAGGAGGGATTAGGAAAAATGTGTAGGCTCTATAGGTTGTAGGTCCTGATAGAATCAAAGACTTGTTGGAGTAGGGGGCAAAGCAAACTTGTTATCAAACAGTGGGGTACATAAAAGTCCAACTGTAGAGGGACTGGCCAGGGTTACTGGGTAGCACCATCATGTTAGTGAGTGGCTAAAGCAGAATGGAAGGATAGAGTCATTGAAGAAGAAGAGTTCTAAGAAACCTAGAGGCCAAACTACTAGAAGAAAAATCACAAAGGATTATGACAGGGTTGCTTTTGAAGAGAATAACAGCTCAATGTACAAGGAATGAGGTAAAAGGTGAAGTGGGAAACTAGGTGAGTGCAGCAAGAAGAGTTCATTGGCAGTATAATCTAATGATACATATGAGATTCAAGGCTAGGAGTTCTCGGAGAAGGAAGAATGATCTAGGAGTAGCAATCTGTACGTCAAGTGGTATGAGAGGGGGGGAGAATAAACTCAACATTTGAGGTAGCTGCATAGGAGGCAGTACTAAGTTGTAAAAGATTGATTGAGAAGCCTAAATTAATATAGTACATATTGAGTTGTTGAGTTCCTGAAAGATAATAAAATAAAATCTATTTGGTTAGCACCGTTAAAGAATTCTAGCTTCTAAACTGTGGGTTCTGAAGGAAGTAGGATATCATTGATTGTAAGGAGTCATTATTTAATAGAAGAGAATGTCCAGTGCCCAAGGTGGGGGTACATTTCTTAACTATGGTGAGTAGCCACTAAATTAGCTTACTTGGAGAAGTGTAGATGCTGGAAATATTTTTAAATGATCTTTGAATTATGATAGCGCATTAGCAGAAACCTCAGGCTTGATTTGAAGGAGCCATTATAGACACATACTGACAATACTGAGGTAGGTGCTTCTGTACCATTTCTTAGAAAGTAGGATGTTGATAACAGAAATTTCTTATGACAACATGAATTTAATTCAGTTTTAACTTTTTGTTTGATTTCTAAACATAACATTTTGTTATTTGGTATTTTTTATCACTATTAATATGATTTGGGGAAGAGAATTTTGAAATTTTTTCTCACCTCCGTTTTCTCTCATTTTAAATCTAGATTTTACTTTGCTAGCAGCGGACATGCCGAGCACAGCCCCATCAGACCTTCAGCCTCAGCCAGTTATATCAATAATTCAGATTTTTGGTTGGGATGATATCATCTGGCCCCAGCTTGTGGCAAGATATTTAAGTCATTTACTACAAAATAGGTGTGTGCCTTTATTTCAGACTTGCACAATAGATGAAAATCCTAATAGATCACTACCCTGGGAAGGTTAAGAATGTTTATAAATGAGAACTGATCATTATCATATATACTCTGGCTTTGGCAGTTTTTTGCTTTCAGATTATCTTTTGACTATAGTAATCACAGGAAAGCTATGTTTAGTAGCTTTCTTTCTTTCTTTTGGGGGGGGTTAGTGATGCTGGGTAAGCCTTTTCAAAATTTTTACAGACTTCTGTTACTATTATCATAAGGTGATCTTATATTTGCCATTGTGAAAGGCATGATATAATATCATACCTTGCTATTCTACTGCTTTGAAACTACCCAAATTTGATGTTCAACACATTTTGACGTGAAAATTTTGTCTTGGTACTCGTGTTCGTTTGGTATTCCATGCACAAGTAGAACTTAGCCATGTTGATTGCATTGTGTTTCACTACCTTCCCCAGCTATTTCAGTTGCTTTTCTCATTGCTAAGACCAAATACTTGACACCCACAGTTAAAGATGAAAGGTTTATTTGACTCACAGTTTGTAGAGGTTTCAGTCCATAGTCAGCTGTCGCCAAGGTAGGGTGGCATGGCAGAGGGACATTGCAAAGGAAAAATAGTCCATGGCCAAGCAGGGCAAGCAGAAGATAGCTAGCAGTAAAGTAGCAACCATTAAGCAACAAGCAAACGCACTAGCCCTCTCCTTGTCCCTTATATTTTACCCCAGGTAGATAATACTCACACCCAGAGTAGGGCACCCTTAATCCTTAATCCTACCCGGAACTATGCCCAACCAATCAGTGGATTAATTTAGTAATTACACACCCTTAATCCCAACAACACACTCTAGATCCACACTCTAGGCCCCTCAGAAAAAGGCCCACCTATGACCACATGAGGCTTTCAGGGGACATCTAGATACAAACCATAACACCAGCCAAAGCAATCTGGTATTCATCATCATTGGTACTTGTTGTGTACCCCAGAACCAATGGCCAGTAGCCAAGGTACAACTGTAGTTAAAGTTAGAGTAGAAATTGTAGAGTTCTTATCGGATAACCTGATTCTTTTTTTTTTTTGTTTTTGTTTTTTTTTGTTTTTTCTCCGGTACCAGGAACCGAACTCACGACCTTGCGCTTGCCAGGCAGGCGCTTTGCCACTGAGCTAAATCCCCAGCCCCCGGATAACCTGATTCTTAATAATGGCTCAGCTAAATGTTACCAGGTTTTGAGCTGCTCGCCTCTTCCTCTTGAGTTAGATTCCAGGTTCTTCTCATCTTAAAGAGTTGGATGAAATGAGGCCCCTCACTCCCCCAAAAAAGTGGAAGTTTTTTTTTGAGAAAGTAAAAGCAAAGACTAGGGGAGAAATTGGCTCTGCAGAGTGAGATTGAGCTGAGTAAAGAGAAAAAGAGGGTAACAGTAAAAATAAAAGTACGTGCTGTGTCTGGGAAATGCAGCCTGGGCTATCATGGAAAGTTATGATATCAAGGACTTTGTGGGTCGCCTTTCCTATTGGGCTGTCCATATCTCAAGGAAACCCATGGGAACTTCTACATATAGGCCCTGAGAGGCAGTGCCTCAGGCTGATATCACATCTAGGTCATCCTATTGAAAACTGGTCCCAGTTCTCATGAGAAGTCCACATGCAGGGCTTCGGGAACTGTTCTGCACCGTGTTTCCAGAATCTTTATAATTAACAAGTCACACCTACTTACCCAGCCAGCTTTGCCATACCCCAGTCTCCTATCTTAGATTGATCAGCATACTTAAACAAGAATGTCAAAATGTGGGGAAATGAAATGAATATACAAACCCAAGAGGCCAATGTAATTCCTTTTTTTTTTTTTTTTTTTCTGATCTTTTAGAGACAGGGTCTTGCCATGCAATTGAGGCTGGCCTTGAGCTCACTTTGTAATCCACGCTGGTCTCAAACTTGCGAAGATCCTCCTGCCTCAACCTCCCAAGTACTGGGATTACAGGCATGTGCCACCACCCCCAGTGCCAGTGTAGTTCTTGCCTAAGCTGCCAGTCAGTGAAAATGAAGACACATGAAGTTAGTAAGGTAGTTCTTTTTCTAAGAGGTTCATTAACCAAAGTCATTAAGCATATACTGTCTTGTTAGACTTTTAGTTGTAAAGTAAGGGAATTAAACTTCAGTTGAATTTATTTTTAGATCCCTTCTAGCTTGAAAATTCTACAGTAATACTGAACATTTATATTAGTTATTAACCATGAGTTGAAATTTGAAATAATTTTTTTAAAAATAGTATTGGTTTGTTAATAACAGTTGAAGGAACTGAAACAAAAAGGTGTTAAATAACTTGGGGGAAAGTTATATAGGTAATAACCAATATGTGTTCTTCTGTATTATGTACTTTTATAAAAGACAACTTCTGTTTTGGATATTTCAAAGATTTTTAAAGGTGTGATACACACATATAGTTAGTATATGTTTCACACACACATACATATAGTTAGTATATGTTTGCGATACATGATAAGTATTTTCATTGTGGGGAATTGCTATATATACTTGCCGCATCTTGGTCCTTTTTACTTCCCTTTCTCCTGTCCTTCCTTGCACCTCCCCATCCCCAGAACCTCTCTTCTCATTCCTACAAAGCCTACCTCCCTGTTTTCTCACATCCGTCTTTTATTTTGCTCTTTAAATTGTTTATACTTTGTTTCTCGTATAAGAGCAAACAGTGATATTTAACCTTGGGTGTCTGATTTATTTCACTTAGCGTTATGGTCTCCAGATGCATCCACTTTCCTACAAATGACTCAGATTTATCCTTTATAGTAGAGTAGTATCCCATTGTGTATGCATACTACGTTGTCTTTGTCCGTTTATCCGTTGATGGCCATATAGGCTGTTTCCAAGATTCAGCTGTGATGAGTCGTTCTGTTATAAAAATGGGTGATTTATATCTATTTTTTAAAAAGTTTTACATGCACTTTATTGTTAGGGTTTTTTTTTTTTTTTTTTTCCTCCGGTACCAGGAACCGAACTCACGGCCTTGCGCTTGCCAGGCAGGCGCTTTTGCCACTGAGCTAAATCCCCAGCCCTATTGTTAGGTTAAAATCATCCCTGTTCTGTCTTTTCCCTCTTTAGAAAGCAAATTTAGCTAGATCATTGGCTTCATAGAAACTGTTTTTCAGATTTCTGGACGATATTATTTTGGAATTCTATGTGAGGTAATCTTTGTTGCATGTGGAATGGAGAAGCAGAAAAGGATGGAACTGATCAGGAGATACAGGGAGAAGTATATTTTGTCTTTAATTTTTTTTTCCCAAATAGTCAGGACCCCTTCTCTGTGTAGTTACTCCAAGGGCCACTGTTTTCTTTTACTTACCTCTTCCTTCATTTTGATATCACTTAGTGAGTTATATGCCCCTAGCTTTTCCCATATTTCATCATGTTGTTTCTCTAACATTTGCTGTGGCCTAAGCCTACATATATGCCATCAGTGGCAGAAGGAAAGTTAAAAATTTGACTATTGCAAAAGAAAACAAGAATATTTTAGGTTCTTTTCTGTATAATTCTAGAACATTCATTTTTGGCAATGCATGCCTTTATTAGTGTATTTCTCTAAAAATAGGTGAGATCAAGGAAGGGTTTGTGAGATGTGTTAAAATTCGTTTCTTTACTTAATCTTTGTGTTTAAGGAATATGTTGCCATTTTAATTTTTGCTTGAATTCTCACCAACTTCTTTTCACAGCACATTATGTGAAGCACTTTCTCATTCAGGCAATGTATCTTTTCAATCCTCAACTATAAGATCATGGATCCGTTGTGTTTTGCAAATGTATATAAAAAACCTCCCTGGGCCTGATGATTTGTTTGTTGATATGAATCCTGAACAAGCAGTTGGTAAGTAAGTAGTGCATACTTATTTTTGATTGGAGAATGGGAGGGTGGTAACTGTTGAAAGCCTTGTGCTTTCTAGATTATTTCTTATATAAATTAAAGAAATATAATTATGAATATAAGTAGAAATTTGTTTCCTTTTGTATCCTGCTCCTTTTTCTTGATATTCTTACTACATATGACAAATATTCCCTTTTATAAAGATAAAAGAACTTTCCTTGGAAGCCAAAAGAAGAACTTGCTTCTCAGGTGACAAGTGATTATTTTCTTTAATCCCAAATAAACTGATCTTATAAAAAAGTGGAAGTCTAAATAACCAGATGTCGGGCTGGGACTATAGCTCAGTGGTATAAGCACCTGCTTGGCAAGCAGATGGTCCTGAGTTCAATTCCTGGTACCAACACCCCCGCCAAAAAAAAAAACAAAACAAACTAAATAACCAGATGTCATAATGTGAATACCCTAAAAAAGAAATATCCAATTATGAATAATTTTCTCATTTTTATTAGATATTTTACCTGTCTTATGCTGTACTATTATCATTGAGTGATACTTTTTAAAAAATACTCCATACAGTTCTGTCTTCTGTAGTATATCCCTTTTCTGAAAGCTCTTGTGCATAGTCATTTATAAATTTCACAAAGTCTGGCCTGAACAAATGCTCTAAATTTTCTTTGTTGCTTATTACATCTGTTGGCTTTATATGAATAACTTTTAGAGCTATGATGTTCATGAGAGCAATCTCCTTCACTGTTTTAATTTTACTGCAATTTAAATTTTAAAGGAAAGCGTATGAGGATTGCTACATTCTTTGCATGTATGTACATATAGCATATGTAAAATTTTATTTTATTTTATTTTATTTTAAAGATAAAAGGAGGGAAACATTAACAGACATACAACATTTTACAACATATCACAAGCACAATACAGACAATACAGAGTTACAAACAAAGTGGTAGGGAATTAACAATGGTGGTTGTATTACATATTGATATCTTCAAAGTGGCTTCTCATGAAAACAGATATAGACATGCAATACTGGTCAACCAAAGACTCATTGACAGTTTCTTTCAGCATAGAAATAGAAGACAGAAGAACAACCATGTTAACTATCCTGTATATACATACATACAAAATTTCTCCTTCTTTCCCTTCTCTTTTCCCACATCCCAGAAGCCCTTTACTCTTCGGTGGTTTCTTATCATTTCACAGTGTCTATCATACCTCCGAGTTTAACTTAACTCTTTCAAGTTTTACACTAGTGACACAATGCGGTGCTTGCACATGTATGTTTGATTTATTTGACTTATGAGTATGGTCTCTAGTTGTGACCATTTAAATATAAAGGCTTCGAGTTTATCTTTCTTTATAGCTGAGTAATATTCCATTATATAAAAGTACCATAATTTTCTTATCCAATTCTTGGTGGACGGACTTTTGGGTTGCTTCCACATTTTAGCAATTATATGTAAAATTTTAAACTTTATAAGTTTATCTAAGAGACAAATATTTTATTTTAACAGAAAAAGACTACATGGAACAGTTGGCTGAACTGACAAGGTTAATATTTAAACTCTCAGAAGTAAAGCATATTTTCTCACAGGCCCAAGTCGAATGTTTACCCACCCCAGAAGATCCTAAAAAAGCACTTGTTCAGTTCCTGGAGGTATTTTTCATTTATTAATTATCCAGATTAGTTCCAGTTATTTTCCAGAAAATACATTGTTTTAAATTGCATTATATTACAGGTCACCTGCTATTGTGAAGTTCTAGAGGAAGAAAAATGTGAATCTAAAACATAATACAAAATACTCTTAAAGATGGCAGAAAGTTTATATTTAATGTAGAATAATAAAATTAAAGATACTACATAAAAACTTTATCCATGGTCAACTAAAACTAGAAAAGTATTGTATTGCTGAAATTTTAGATGAGCATATTCTTCAGGTACTTGGGGACTAAATGTATACATATAGGGTCCATAATAGTTTCTGCTGAATATTACCATTCTGTTCTATGCATGGTAATTATAGGTACCAACTACTGTGTATGTAGTATGAGTGGGACTTTAAAATCTAATCCATTTGTTTTGTTTTCCCCATAATAATTCCACTCAGAATTTCATTTTTAGTTATTAGTTTGAAAGGGACATATTTTGTATGATAGCATTTGTTTTGTAAGCCCAGTTGAGGTTCTTAATATTTTTTGGATTAGTGTCTTTTGTAAGTTATTTACAGTAAGATTTAGTTTATTTTTCTCCAAAATGGTCTGTAGTAAGTACACTGAAAAGAAATACATATAGTAAGCCTTTTCATAAGTGTTAATTCTTCCTTGTGTTTCCATTAAGTTTAAAGTATAATGATACAACAATTAGAGATGTCCTATTAACGCTAACAGCATTTAATAACAGGATATGTAGGTATAAAATACACATTTCTGTTGAACATTTTAATTGTTCACTGACTGTCAAGCCTCAATTAGGCAAAAACTATGGTGTGCAAGCAGCTATACTAGAGATGTCCTATAAATCCTAACAGTATTTAATAATAGAATTTGTGGGTGTAGAGTACACGTTTCTGTTCAACACTTTAATAACTCACTGACTCTCAAGACTCAGTTAGTCAAAACCCTATGGTGTGCTAGGAGCTGTACTAAACCAGAAAAGGAGGTAGAAGTCAAGCTTTCAATTGGTAGTTTTCAGTCTTCCCTAATTTAATCCAGCCCGAACTGTTTTCCTTTATCACTAAACAGAAGTCCAATGTACTATCCATTGCACTACACAGCCAGATTTCTTTTTATCACTAAGCAGATGACAGCTCCCCTACCCCCAATGTTTCCCTTAAATACTAGATAGTATTATCTAGGACTTCTAAGAGATTTTTAAAACCAAATATGTTGTAGAACTTTTACTTGTCAGAGAACACAAGTCATATACTGATGTTGAAATAATAATACAAAGCATTACATGCTTAGTACTAATTTGTTGATAGATCACTTCATAGGGAACGAATTTTAAGCATCTTGTTGTGAGATGTTTAGAATTTACCCCATGAAGATTTTTAAATAAATATGACTTGATCAAATGACTTACAATTAAAATTAGTAGCAGTGTAAATTAAAGGTACAAGGTACCTATTGGTCTGAAACTAGTGAGGTTCAGAAAGAATTTAAGATTGAGTGATTATAGGATTTGTGGATGGATATGAAATAAATACTGCATTTAACTAGAAAAGTGATTGATGCCTTAATTAGAAAGGAAAACATGATGTAGAGTGGAGCTGAAGGAGGAGAGGAATTCCCTTGTAAGCTTATTGAGTTAGAAGCCAGATCAGGGGTCTCTAAGATCATCTCCGGGTTCTGTAATTCACTGAGAAGACTCATGGAACTTAGCATACAGTTGTACTCAAAGCTGTGACCTGTTACAGAAAAGGGACGCAAAGCATAAACAACAAAGGCAAAAGGTGCATGAAATCTAGAGAATCCCAGCATAGCTTCTGAGAGATTTTTCCCAGGGAAGTTACACAGGAGGTACTTAATTCTTCTAACAAGGAATTGTGACAAGAGATGAAGGATTGTCTATCAGAGAAGCTCATTAGCAACTCAGGGTCCATGGTTTTTATTTAGTGGAAGCTGATTACATACACCCCACCTTGCCTCGCCCTTGCAGAATTGCAGAAGGAAAGCAGGTATTTACCATAAGCTGTATTGTTTTCACAGGTGTTTTAGGTACAGTGAACCATTTCTAGGGAATAGTATGAAGCCTCTTAAATCGCAAGCCCCCCAAATGCCAGCCAGTGCATGACCACACAAACAGATGTTTTTAAGGATATCAGTGTAGGGCCTGCTATATTAATGCTCTTCTTCACAGAAATGATGGTATGATGTATAAATAGTAGTAGTCAAAGTACTAAGGAATACATGCTTTTAACCAAGCACACTTGTCCATACCTGCAGTCCTGCTACTTCAGAGAATGAGGCAAGAGGATGGCAAAGTTGAAGCCATTTGGAGTGATTTAATAAGACCCTGTCAGAAAATAAAAAATTTTCTTTAAAAAAGGCTGGGGATGTAGCTCAGTGAGAGGTCCTGGTCAGGTTCAGTCCCCAGTGCCTGACAAAAGAGGAAAGAAATAAAGCACATCTTTTAGTCTGAGAATATTAAAACTAAAGAGAGAGAAATTGATATGCTTAGGGTGCTGATGTTCCAAAGTATAGTTCATAGATTCCTGGGTGTTACTGATACCTTTTCAAGAGGTTCTACCAGCTCAAAACCATACCAACATTTGCAAATAGCACAGAAATTGTGGTGTAAATCAACGTTGTGACCTGAGGTTATACTTGTATCTCTCATAATTTATACTTTCATGCAATCACAGAGGGAGGGGAGAACCAGTTAAGGACATCATTAATGAAGTAGTAAAGTTTAATTTTACTAGATTTTGACCCTTGAGTACATATCTATTTGTATTCTGTGAATGACAATGCAAAGTACACTTAAAGCACCCTTGCTGCTTTCCAAAGCATCGTGGTTTTCTGATTATTTGACTGGAAGTTAAAGTGACTGCTTTTATCTTGAAAGAACAACTGACAAAATATGGTTACTCAGACTAGGATATATGGCAGACATTTCTTCAAAATGAGTGAAGGAAAGAAACCTATCACTTCAAAGAGAACTGACAGTTTGTGTTGCTAATAATATAATTTGAGCTTTCAAGAAAATTAGAATTTTGGAAAACTTGTATTTTTCATTGTGAGCTTGAGAGATTCTTGATACTTAAAGAATTTTCTGATGTGAAAGGCAGTGGTATTAATGCATGCGATTTTTTTCCAATATGGATAATGAAATGTCAACATTGGGAAGCTATGTAATTCAGTAAATCATAATTTTCCAAATGACAGATAGAGGCTTTTTAACAGGCATTCATGAGTAAAAAATTGACTCAAAGTATAAGATACTCCCAGTCCTCTGAATGTAGCAGAGTATAAAATGTTCATTTACTTTAATTTCAGATTCCATGGTGCCTCAGATTCCATGGTGCCTCACATTCCATGACTTAGCTACGACTAGCCTCCAAGAAGTACAGCTTGTCAAGTTATGGTGTAATAACAAGGAGAAATTTCCACAGTAATGAGAAATCTGTCAAATTTCTTCCAGCTGGACATATAGCTCAGCGTTAAGAGTACTTGACTAGCATGTGCAGGGCCCTGGGTTCAGTTGAGTCCTGAGATAGAGAGAGGAGGTTCAAGCGGGAAGTGTGTGCAGAAATAGAATCTAGCTATCTTCAGTTACCTGCACAAAGTTCTCATATGGCATATAGCAAAACTTAATAATAAAAAACTTGTCAAGATCCTCATCTTTCCAGTGTGTGAAGAGGAGCTGATATCAGAAAGTTTGAGGACTTCTAATCAAGGGAAAAGAAGTTTAGAGAACAAAAGGCAAAGAACGAAACAGAGAAGAAAGAATTAATCAGATAGATCTTTTACTTCTTTTCTGTTCATATCCTGTCACTTTGGTTCCTTTTTCTTCGTTCCGCACTTTATCAACAGCATAGCGAGTTTTAAAGTTAGCCTCGATAACTTGTCTTAGACCCTCATTTCAGAGCTTCTCCTGTACTTTGCAGTTGTCATTGCTTTGGTCTGTTTCTCTCACTTTTGTAACTAAGTCCTGAATGAGGCATTGTGTAAAGTATCTTGAAAGTTTTTTGGCTGCCACCACCTGCCCCTCCAGTTCGTGAGTAACTGCAGTAGGACTTTCTACTCCCTTTTTCCCCAAGTACCACCTCTTCTCAAGGTCACATAGGCTCCCTTCACCTTAATTAGACCACTTGAAGCCTCATTTCAGTCCCTCAACAACATCCTACTGTCTGGCATCTTTTGTCTTCTGGTCGGACCTACAGCCCTCTATGTAGGCTCCATGCAGCCAGCTGCTCTCCGTCTTTGGTCTCACCTCTGTGAGCTGTGTGGGCAGACGCTGTGTAACTACCCCGGTACAGAACACTGGTGCCATTCTTCATCCAATTTAAGTTATTCAAGTTCATCCTGAGTTTCCAAAAATGATTTGGAAACTTTACCACTATCTACAGACTTTCTAACCCAGTTCTAGACAGTCTTCTTTTGTTCCTTTTATGACTTTTTAATTCTTGCTTATTTTCACCTTCCTGAGTTTATCCTCATATTTACTTCCCATCCTCTTTTTCCCTCTTTACTGTTCTTTTCCTGCCTCCCTCAGATTTCTGTCTACACCTCTCCACTTTGCCATCTCTACCCTCTGCCACATCATTCTTCCTTTTTTTTTCCCCATTGAGAAAGTTAAGCTAGCAGCTGATGGCTTATAAAAACGATTATGAGAGTAGGGGGAATCTATTGTATCATAAAGCTGAACTTTATACAGGTTTTACTTGTAAGATTTGGGTACAGGCTTTCCTTGTAGGAATTTGGAGATTTAGAAGTCCGAGCCATGCTAGAAACATCATGAGCCAACTTGTTTCAAGTCTCGGTGCGATTGGGTTATAAGCTTTTTGTACTAAAGTGCCATGTTTCTTTTCAGCGTTATTTTGCTGAGTCAGACTTTGTGTACATAATTGTTGGTGAATTGATTTTTTTTTTATTCCTTTAACATTTATTTTATTTAAAAAAAAGGCAAGACTTAATTCTTTTCACTTGAATTTTAATTGCAGTGAGCCTTTATTGGAAAGTTAAGGATGAAGGCCTGAGTGTAAGGTGTGTGTATGTGTTTGTGTGTGTGTGTGTGAAGAGACAGAGAAAATAAATTTGTCACAGTTCTGAATAAAACTTAGAAAGTTCAATAATGTTTCCTTTATTTATAGGCTGTTGGTATAACTTACAGAAATCTTCAGACGCTTTCTGATAAATCTGCCATGGTCACAAAGTCCTTAGAATACCTTGGTGAAGTATTAAAATACATAAAACCTTACTTGGGAAAAAGAATTTTCAGTGCAGGGCTGCAGCTGACTTACGGGATGATGGGTATGTATTTCTAACATTATTTTGCTAGTAACATTTCCTTAGGTTGGTTTGAGCCTACAGGATCAAGACAGACAGGACTATAATGGAAAAATCATTTATCCTCCATGAAGTATAAGAATAATCTGAAATACAATGATTAAATTTAAAATAATTCATGTCAGTCTACAAATGTTTGCTGTATTTGTGTTAAAATTATGATGAATACAGAAAATATACAAAGACCAGTCCCTAGCAGTAGTTCGTTGTGCCTTGCATTGGAAATACCTAAATAACTAAAGTGGACTGTTTATTAATGTTTATCTGTGCTTTGTCAGAATTAAATACATCAGAAAACTATCACTTCCTTTCATTTTTATAGTCTACTCTGTGTGAAGGAGGTCAGGGGAAGATTTGAAACAGCATTAGATATTTATGTTTTAAATCCTGTGTCATACAGTGATCTCTTTTCAAAAAGAAATCTTTTCTCTGTGCCTGTTCAGTGACAGTGGAGTTCATTTTTCTTTAGGAAATCAGTAATTTGAATGTCTTTGTTCACTAAAACCATGTTGCTAACCAAAATAGGAACTGGATAAAGGTACGTGAGAAAGATTTTCTTAGAAGTTTTTATATAGAATTTTAAGTTTGGGGGCTTTTTTTATTTCTCTATGACCAAAACCTTATATCTATTCCCTTTAATCTTGTGAATGTATAAATAAACCTGATTTGGGTTGTCTGAAACCTTTTATCTTTGTTGTGAAAGATAAAGGAGAACGTGAAAAATGTATAAATATGGATGATGTAGAATGTAGTGAAAGCAATTCAGACATCTTAATTTTGAGAGAAGTATAAGTGGAAATTTATTGTAAATTTAACGTAGTGAAATCTAGATTAGTAAGTATTTCAGCTTTTAGGAATATAGTTTAGGCTTATAAATTAATAAGCATTTAAGCTTATTAATCTTTAAAAATATTTTCTAATGTTTCCAGGTTTACATTTTTGCCAAGCTACATGTGTGATTATAGGGTATATCTTTACATTTAAGAATATATGATTGTCTTATCAGGAACTATAAGATCACATTTTGATTAGTGATAATGTAGAACTAGGGCAGAATTTTACTAATGAAGAATTAAGGACCTTCTTTGTCCTGTCCTGCTGCCTTGCCGGTTTTCAACTTTTTTTGGTATGGGGAATCAAACTCAGGACCTTGGGCTTGCCAGGCAGGCACTTGTGCTGAGCTATATCCCTGACCCTGATTTTCAATGTAATGGCAAATAGATGTGTATTTATCATGGTTTGTGTCTAGATGTACCCTCAAAGCCTTATGTAGTCATGCAGCAGGCTTTTAGAGTTTATGATTGATTCATGGTCCCACGCTGGGATTATGGGTGTGAGTGCTACACCTGCCCTGGGATGGGTAGCTTACATACAATATAAGGGAGGGGAAGAGGCTTACCCGCTGCCACTCTTCCCTTTTTGCTCTTGCTGCTTTTGCTATTTTTGGCCACCATGAACTGTTTCTCTCTGCCATGTGCCACTTTCCCTTGGAGCCAGCCGAGTATGGACTGAAACTTTTCCACAAACTGTGACCTAAATAAACCTTTGCTTCCTTAATTCTGGGCATCAGGTATTTTGTGCCAGTAATGAGAGAAAAGTAACCAAGACAGTATACTTTCTTTTGCCTAGGTCTCAAAGACTGGAAATAAAGCATGTAGCTAGTGTTGCCCATTTATTCATTAGAAAGCAGGAATAAATAACTTTCTGAAAAAAAAAAAAAAATAGAGACAAAGCAGGACAGGAAGGACAGACAATCAAGGAGCCCAAATCTATCTGGGAATGTGAACAAGGTGGAGACAACTGAGTGGGCACTGCAAGGTCACAGGCAGAATTTAAGAAACAAAAGCAAAAGAGGAAGAATTACCAGAGATGGAGAGGGTCAAAGGAAAAGGCCTAGAAACAGACAGTATGAAACACGAGGAGTGAGAAACATTATTGAACTTTCTAAGTTTTATTCAGAACTGTGACAAATTTATTTTCTCTGTCTCTTCACACACACACACACAACCTGATTTGAAATGTCACGGTTGAGATATCATAACTAGTTGAAGGAAAGAGTTAATCACTAACACTATGATTATTTACCTTGCCATTTCCTAACTAGGGATACCTGCTGTTCACTTGCAAGGCTGCTAGTGGAAGGCACAAAACTCTGATAAAAAAAATCACAGTCTGTGCTAAGGGAAGCATCTAGGATCCTAGTTATAATTCAGTAATTTCTGAAGGCAGGATTGGTCCATAAGTAATATTCTCAACTTCTTTCCCATTATTTTCTTCTGTTGGGGGATTTAGGGAAAAGAGTGTTGTGTTTTGCTTTGATTTGGTTTGGCTTTCTCACTCCTCGTGTTTCATACTGTCTGTTTCTAGGCCTTTTCCTTTGACCCTCTCCATCTCTGGTAATTCTTCCTCTTTTGCTTTTGTTTCTTAAATTCTGCCTGTGACCTTGCAGTGCCCACTCAGTTGTCTCCACCTTGTTCACATTCCCAGATAGATTTGGGCTCCTTGATTGTCTGTCCTTCCTGTCCT